AAGATATTTAATGGTATTTGTTTAGCTTACGTGTTACCTACGTAAAGTTGTTTAGTCCCGAAATATTCTAACAGAAACTAATACAATTAAAAGAAATGGCCTTAACTAATATTATTAAACACCATGTTAATCATTAATGCAATGTTTAATATCATGTATAAAAATATATACGAGTATGTGTATGAGTATATAATATAAAGTAGGCTTTTGCTGAATTGGGCTTTTAGCGTGACATTTAAATATCTACAATAAAAAATAGATAATAAAATGAGATAATAAAAGATATAAATTATAATTTAGATACAATCAATACTTTTTAATATTTAGTTGTTATTTTATATGGTCTGTATTTGAATGACGAAATAGTTTTTAATAACTTTATCGTAAAATTTTACTTTTTTTATGATTGACGGCTTACTGGTGGCCCGGAGACCTTTCCAGTTTCACAAGGACAGGTGAGCGAGCAAGGGCTCAGCCAGAAAGGAATTTTACTACTACACATCAAAACTTTGTATCGGTCTTTCAAATGACCATAATTCCCAACGACTAAACTTCAAAACAAAATCGAGTGGGCTATGCCATTGCTGGAAAACAAATTCTGTAATTGTCAAGTGCTTGCTTAAAACACAAGTTATATGACACACTGTCACCTGATCTCCAACAACGGCTCCCTTAAATAGACAAATATACGTATAAGCATGTACATGCAATCAACCAATCAGACAAAGAAGAAACTGTTCACTGGTGGTAGTGAGTGTGAGTCCGCGCGGGTAGGTATCCCACCCTGCCTATTTCTGCCGTGAAGCAGTGATGCGTTTCGGTTTGAAGGGTGGGGCAACCGTTGTAACTATACTGAGACATTAGAACTTAAATATCTCAAGGTGGGTGGCGCATTTACGTTGTAGATGTCTATGGGCTCCAATATCCACTTAACATCAGGTGGGCTGTGAGGTCGTCCACCTATATAAGAAAAAAAAAACGATCTCATACAAACTTTAGCCTTGTCTGGGAATTGAACCTACAACTCTGTAGTCAGGCGCGTTAACGACTGCACCTCCAAGACAGTTGAATGTACCTTTCAAAGTACCCTAGGGTTCAGAGCTAAAGGATTAGCTGTAAGCCCATCATGCATGTGTAATGTGATAAGAACAGCATAATTCTAACATCAATCTGTCTTCATTAACATTGTATTAATTTGTGCATATTGCTGTTATACTGGTAGGTCTGAATGTGCTCTGAATCAATTATTAATTGTATTATTCATAATGAACTATCAGAGCTTCATCAGCTTGTATAGCGTGTTTTGTATACTTGAGGCTACTCAATCTTATTCTTTTTTTTATTGCTTAGATGGGCGGACGAGCTCATATCCCATCTGGTATTAAGTAGTTACTGGAGCCCGTAGACATCAACAACGTAAATGCGCCACCCACCTTAAGATATGAGTTCTAAAGTCTCAAATATAGTTACAATATACAAATATAGGGGTAGAGGTCCCAAACGATGGTCGGACCAAATAGCGGAGGAACTGGGGATACCTATCAGCGACGCACTCCACCGGGCTGCAGGGCGGGATCGATGGAGACAGTTGGTTGACGAAATCGGACGGAGTCACGATCCTCAGCAGTGAGGAACCGATCGAAGAGAGAGATAGTTACAACGGCTGCCCCACCCTTCAAACCGAAACGCAATTACTGCTTCACAGCAGAAATAGGCAAGGTGGTGGTACCTACCCGTGCAGACTCACAAGAGGTCCTACCACCAGAAATTACGCAAATTATAATTTTGCAGGTTTGATTTTTATTACACTATGTTATTCCTTCACCGTGGAAGTCAATCGTGAACATTTGTTGAGTACGTATTTCATTAGAACAATTGGTACCCGCCTGGGATTTGAACACCGGTGCATCGCTCAACACGAATTCACCGGACGTCTTATCCTATAGGCCACGACGACGTGGTAATTCTAACTTAGCTTTAGCTTAACTTCTTTAAATATGCCGGTTTGAAACGCAATCTTACCATTTTGTAGTAAAAAACGTAATTAGATGAATGAAATCGAAACTTTCCCGGTTTGATTTAGGTCCACGTCCTGCTAATTCTCAATTTTGGGGCTAATACTTATACTATTATAATACATATACTCATACAGCACCCATTCCCCGCTTCCCCGCGCTTACTTCTCACATTTGGTTCGCCGCGTAGCATGCAGTTATGTGGATTTGGGATTTACGACAGTGAGAAGATCTTCCACCGAGCGGGTGATATTGCTAGATAAACCGACGGTCCCAATGTTGTTGTTCGGAAATGGTATATATGCAAGCTTATCTTGAAAACGTCGTAAGCGAAATTCAGGCATCTGTCCAATATCTTGTGTTCCACCACATCACCACACATAAACACAAATAAAAGTGTAATTTTTTCCCTACCCCACCCAGCACCCTGTCGACACCGACCAATTATCTCAGGGTTTGTTTTTCAAAAAGCAACCCTTGCTACAGCTTTTTTTTTATTGCCTTTGTAGGCAGACGAGCGTACGGCCCAACTGATGGTAAGTGGTTACCGTCGCCCATGGACTTCACCAAGCCGCTGCCTACGGCTTAATACTCAATGCCTAATACAGCTGCTAATCAAAAGTAACAATGCTAAAAGTGTTAAATCACTAAAAATTAAGCAGTTTATCAAAAAATACCTAGTTGAGGTCGGTCATGTTTTTATTATTTCGAATGCTTATACCTAATGGTATTATACTAGTTTGATTCTGGTTTTTTGCTGTATCGAACGAATATGAATAACACTCTTTGACAGTGCTTTTACAATGGGCTCTTAAAGCTTAACACATCACGAATCCAACGATGGCGACGCTCAAATGACGTTTTAACTAATATTTATTTGATCACACGTCTCTCTACAAAAAGCGAAAAGCCTTCGAGACATCGAAAATAATAGAATGACAGTTTAAAATCGGGATTTTAAACCGTAAAATTAGTTTTAATTACGTCTAAGACTCGCGAAATGCGAATACAATATTATGTTATTACTGGCTGTACCCACCCGCTTCGCTGAGCATTTAAAATTAACATTAATATTTCTCACCCCCACAAAGATTGTCATAATTAACGCCCCCGCAACTGGTGTAGGGAGTCCAACACTCATATTAGCCTATCCATTAAGTACATGTATTTTCTACATGGATACCAAGTTTCAAGTCAATCGGACGCATAGTTCAGTAGTTATAACGGAACATCTGTAAAAACCACTGTAGATTGATATATTAGTATAGATGTATCTATATATTCGGACTGACTCGGTGGTCCCGTAGTTAGCGATCCTGGCAATAGCTAGGGTTCGATTCCCACATCGGGCAAGCATCCGTGTGATGAACAACTTAGTTTGTTCTTTGTATGGGTGTTTATTGTCTAACCATAACACAGGGAATTCTTGCTTGAGGCCGGATGATCGTGCTTGATTTGTTCCCAGTTATTTATTATTTTATTATTATTATATTACTTTATGAGTAGACGAGAGAGTTCATGGTCCCAGCGCTGTACTGCGGTTAGCGGAGCCCATAGAGATCATAAATTGAAAGCCAATTGGCGATTTCTGTACGCTGGTTTGATATTCAGATAACGCTGCTGCCCATCCTCCATTGAATCCCTTAGTCGGCTTTTAACGACACCCACGGGAAAATGCTATTTCAGGCTGACATCACAGAGTCAACAATATAGGTTCATACCTTCGATAAACGTTGTATTATTGTTAATGTATCTTGGTTCTCGTTATTTACTATGTTAAGGCCAAAGGATTTCAATCCATATGATGTTAGTTTATCCGGCTCAGAAGATATGCTCATTATTATAATAGAAGATATGATTTTTTTAACGGTGATCGCACGTTTTTTGAGTCCGCACGGATAGGTATTGCAAATCTGTCTATTCCAGACGCATTAATGCGTTTCGGTTTGAAGAGCGGGCTAGACGTTGTACTGTAAAAACTGAGACCTTAGAACTCATGTCAAAATATGGGTGGCGGCCTTTGCGTTGTAGATGTCTGTGAGCTCTGATAACCATTTAACACCGAGTGGGCCGCGAGCTCGTGCACCCATGTGAGCAATAAATAATAGAAAATATGCGATTGGACTTCTAAAGGTCCTAAGGGTTTAAACTTACAGCTGGATTGTTGCAACCTGACGAGGTCGAAATGTCAATAGCTATTTTTTTTAAATCGTTTTTATCAGTGATTTCTTCACTTTAATTTCTCAACCAATAGTCTATCTTGGTTCCAGCAGAAGGCCTAATTTTGAGGAGATTCTAATCAGTATCACTCCTCCCTTCGAATTGGCTAGTTTCTCATCGATTCTCCTATATAACGTATTAGTATGAATCCTTAGTAGAATATTCAATAACTATGTGGTTTCTGAAGTATTGTAATAAAGTTTTAAGCAAATTAGGTGAACCCAATAAGCTTGCCGAAAACCTTTATACTCACGTTATAAAATATATACCTTAAAAAAAACTACTACGGATATTTTAATTTTCCATATCAGACAACCCCACACGCCCACAGATTATAAACGCGGCATCTTAGATACAACCAATATGATCTGTGGATACAACGCAGATTTAATGGCGCGACAAATGCCGGCGCACGATCCCATCGCATTAGCATGAGAAAGATGGGCCATTGAAATTTAACGTCTCAATCTAGACTGGCTCACTTACAACCTGAGGCGTACGGTTTAAAGCCTATTAAAACAAACCTTTATTAAACTTTACGAGTTGTTAATTATATAACCCTGTCTGTAATTTAGACTCGGAATATTCTACAGTAAGTCCTTATGTATGTGTGCATATCTATCTACTGTAATGGAATAAAAAACTTAAAAATATATTTGTATTTAGAACTGAACAAAAATTGTCTACGGAACACGTGACTAACTTGGGTGTTACCAGCCTTTATTAACACAAATTCATGACTAAAAGCAATTTCTTCTTCCATAGGTGTGGTTCCAAAATCGGAGAGCGAAATGGCGTAAGAAGGAGCATACAAAGAAAGGGCCGGGGCGACCTGCCCACAACGCGCATCCTCAATCCTGCTCTGGAGAGCCTATCCCTCCACACGAACTTCGAGCCCGTGAACGGTAATTATTAAATAATCTTTCTTCTCGGTCGTTCCGTTCTCTTTAGAGCGGTCATTATCGTTTTTTGAGAGTAAATGACGTTTCGCTCATAGTTCACCATCAATTTGTTACACTCATAAACTGGGACTACCAAAGCAAACTTGATCTGGTCAGGTCTTTGCGTCTTCTAATTTGGTCAACTCAATCCGTCTCTGTCACAGAAATTCTACTCTGAGAACTAAGTTTCGGGATCTAAGAAAACTCTGAACACGAGATATATTGAATTTGGAGGGTAGATGTTAACTGTAAATTATTATTTTTTTATAAAAATACGCTTTGTAATTTCTGAATTCGGACAGTTTGGTTACACTCTTTAAAGTTATGCAAATCAATTATCGAATGGGAAAGACATGCGTTTCTACATTTACATATATATTTGTATGTAGGTACCAAAACCCGCGGTATTCCACAATGACATCACCCTTGTTAATTTGGTTACCTACAAGACACTCAGCGTTATCTTAGGTTTAAAATAATGATGAAATACAAGGAAAATTAATAAGATTTTTTTTTAAATAAATATTATAAAAACAAATGTCTTTAAATTATTAACGCGCTCGTCATTAAAATATATTACAACTTTAACACAAACAAAGCGTATCTCATTTCTCATTAATTACATTTAATGATGTTAATAAAAACATAAAAATTATCTAGAAACTAATTAATAACAAATTGTAGGATTGCATCAGAAACGAACGCACTGAACCGATTATAACCCGACGATGTTTCTACGTAGTAATGCAGGTTATATACTTAGTACATTATATATTATATATAGTACATTTAAGCTTCGTCAATCGCATGGAGGTCATAATTTTGGCTAATTTAATTACATCGGGTCCACCTCCGGCGATAAAAACGATAACCCCGCGATGGCCACATTATCTGAAAGACTTTTCGGGCAATTGAAAAACATTCATTACATAGTAACGCAAATCGTTTTGTTCGATAATTCTGGATAACGTACGCTAATTGAGACCAATTAAATGTTATCAGGGCGCGCAGGAGGAAGAAGCTGGCCAAGGCTCTGGACCGGCAGGCCAGGAAGCTCAGAGCCAAGGGCATCGCCGTCGATCTAGAGGCTTTGAAGTCCGAATACTTAGCGCAACACAGGAACACCGGCGTCTACTCGGACTCCGATGACGGAGAGGGCGAGGACAGCATGATCGACGTCGTCGGAGGAGATTCCTGTCACGATTCCGGCCCTGAAGATTTTTCTCTTTCCGGCAGAATCCGCGCGCCTTCTGGTGCCGACGGCATGAACAACTCGGACAGCTCGGCGTCGGACGCTCATTCGACGAGGAATTACAGTCCGGGCCCGGATCCTCAGGCTTCGTTCTTCAAGAGCTTCACGAGTGTCGGTGCGAACTTCGAAAAGTTTGACTTCGATTCGGGGAGGGCCGTGTCCTTAGATTTGAGCGGCGGCGGAGGCACGTCGACCGAACAAGACTTATCGAAAAATGGTGGGACGCGAAAACACAATCCCTTTAGCATAGAATCGTTGCTTAACACGTGAAAATGACTTGTGCACATAGAGGCTTATGTATTTGTGTATCAGTGACTGATCGGAAGTTGTCGCTCGTTCAGTGAGTAAACAGATTTATCATTAGTTGTAACCGGCTTCAGTAAAGACTTGGTACAGTTGACATATCCAGTGTGAATATTAGACGTAGGAACCGTGTATTATATAGTGTGTAGTGTAAATAGTCTGTCTTCTCTTCTTTTTTGTTAATTAAAATAACTTAATATATTTATTTCTTTTTACATTCTGGGGCAATAATTTTGTAGATCATGTTTTTTTTTTCATATTTTATTACTTGACTTTTAGAAAAGTCGAACTGATAAGACTCATGTCGTCATTAATATTAAAATAAATCATATGATTGATTTGAAATTTTTAGCGCTACCCTTAAATTTATCATATTTATTTTTACAATTCATTGCATTATCATTCATCATACAAGTTTTACTTACATATGCTACATGATGACAATATATACTATAACGTAACATACACAAGAATTTATAAGTGCATTTATATTATTTTAATGTTATTTCAGTTCCATGTCGTGACTTCATAATATAATATAATTCTTATTATCAAAAATACAAATTTGTTATAGAAACGAAAACATATTAAAAACTACTAATTAAACCGATAAGAAAATAAGATAACATCGCAGTAAGAGACAATAAAAAAATAATTACGATCGAATTAAAAATAACAAAAAAAAACAAAATGGCGTCGTTAATACAATTACGAGCGTAGAGTGAAACAAAATATATTATTTCGTGAAACAAAGAATATTATTGATGAATATTTAACTCTAACGTCGATAAGAGAGCCAATTAGCAAACAATATATGTGTTATGAGTGTGATTTTTATTACGTTTTTAACTCACATTTAAAGTTACACGACAAAATGGCGAAGCGATTCGTTACGGAGCATTGTTTCGACGCGTTCATCCGTGTAATTGCGCTAATTATTTAAAGAAATAAAATTGTTTTAAAAATTTTAATATAAAATATTTTATAACGCATAAAATGGTATCGGTTTCACCTTTTTATTATGGTTTCAGTGTTTGTTTTTCACGATGTTTTTATACGTCTATATTAAATTTATGAAACATGTAATATGTACATACGCGAGCCGACGCGAGGTCACTTACATTTGTCAATAGAATTATCGATCAACATAATTCATTTAAGACACAGATAACACAATTGTCCAATTTCTTTTTTCTAAAACTCCGAAAAAAGGTTACGTTATTCTTAAAGTATAACTTTTTTTTTGGACGCATTAAGTTTTCCAGTCGTTGTCTGGTACCAATCATTTAATAATAAAGTGAATAAATCATTTATCGAAAAGATTTTAAAATTTTAATGTACCTATTTACCATTTCAACTAGAATACATTTGTTAAACATAACAAACAGCCTTACGAATCATCGAAATAAACTCAAGGAATTTGACATTCTTGATTGATATTTTTTCATTATTCATGACAAAGGCATATCAAATTGAATGCCAGACTATAACCCTGGTGTAACAGATGTTTAAAACTGTAGTTATTAGAAAAAATAGAAAATTATTGTCGCAATATCGTAATGGGAAACTAAGTCATCATATTTTTGTGTAGTGGAACTAATTTAACGCCTATCAAAGACACAGGTCTATAGACGACATATTTTTCGTAGTTTTACAGTTAAAAAAAAAGATCTCGGAAAGTAAAATTGATAAAGACTTTAAATAAAATTGTCACTAATCGATCTCTTAATACAATAATACTAGGCGGCTTTTTCTCGAATCATCCAAAACCTTATTTTTTTGGTTGGGAAATGTGATAAAATCCTTATTTTATTTATTATACAAAAAATTCAATTATTTCATGAATTATTTCGTTTAGTCTTCTTAAAATTTTAACGGCTGTTTTAAGAAAACGGATTTCTTTTTAATCAAAATTTTATCATAACCGTATTTTTTTTTATTAATAAATGTTAATCAAAACAGTCAACAATATAAATCTACCTATCGTGTTCACACCTATTGCAAAGTAATAGTGTGCGAGCAAGACAGACGCAAATTTTGAAAGATATCTTACTGACAGCTTACTAAATAATAAAATTGTAGTTCTCTGGCATATTTACTTGTTAAAATTTTGTTGAAAAATCTCTATAAATTCGTTGTAACGGTTGCTATTTGATTTTTGGAAACAAATAACTTACTTACATATATATGGTCTATAGAACAAATCGATTTTTTCCTTTGGATATTAATAAGCAAACATAAATGCGACTAAAACCTATTACAAAACCTTGAAGAATTGAAAAGGTTAATGAACTCTTGAAATAATTTCATATATTCTCACATACACATAGTAATATGTAATATTATTAAATTCAGTTATGATCGACCCGGGTAATTAACAAAATTTATCAAAATTTGAAAACAACAAACTTTTCATCGGTTAAAGAAAACTATTTGATAAATTAAGCTTATATTTTTTTTTTTAATATCTCTATTTGACAGGCACATGGTGTGTACTTTTTTTTAGCGTAAATCATTTTTACAGAGATTTGTACATATCTCAAAAATTTTACAATAGTTTTAATAATACCCGTCAATGTTTAATATTACATCTGTATTATAACAAAAGAATCACAATTTGGGCTTTGTATTTCAATTGACTAAAAATTACTTTTGGTTACGAATTTATGTAATGCTTCATCACGAAATACTACTACTAATTTATTATAGCATCGATTAAATTTTAATATAGTCATTGTTGTAAACATGATTAGAACGAGTCGATCGAGAACTATTAATTACCCTGGTTGATCATACGTACAATATAACATAGGTACAAAGATAAGTTATTATTTATATAGTCGGCGATGAGTGGATGGATTAATTTGTAAATCTATCATATAATATTAATATTGTACGTAAAATGTATAAAATTTATGTTAATTGAGTAACTTATTGAATCAAAATATAACATTTGAAAAGTTTATTTCTTGTTTTTTTTTTAAATATGTATTATGTATTTATATTTTGCTCATCTGTTTTAGGTTACACAAAGATTGCCTTCGATGTAGGTATAATGTGATTGATTGATGACTTAGTAATACGGATGCTTCCCTATAATCACTATATTTCTGCTACTATTACTGGTGGTAGGACCTCTTGTGAGTCCGCATGGTTTGCAGCTTAAGAAGTCGTCGTTGCCTAAAGGATAAGACGTCCGGTGCATTCGTATTTAGCGATGCAACGGTGTTCGAATCCCGCAGGCGGGTAATGAAATACGTACTTAACAAATGTTCACGATTGACTTCCACGGTGAAGGAATAACATCGTGTAATAAAAATCAAACCCGCAAAATTATAATTTGCGTTATTACTGGTAGGACCTCTTGTGAATCGCACGGGTAGGCACCATCACCCCGCCTATTTCTGCCGTGAAGCAGTAATGCGTTTCGGTTTGAAGGGTGGGTCAGCCGTTGTAACTATACTGAGACCTTAGAACTTATATCTTAAGGTGGATGGCGCATTTATGTTGTAGATGTCTATGGGCTCCAGTAACCACTTAACATCAGGTGGACTGTGAGCCCGTCCACTAATGTAAGCAAAAAAAAACTAAAAAATGATGTAAACTTGTTTGTTCTGTTATTCTCATGGTTGTTGATTTTGGATATTAAATGTTCATCAGTGTTTACCAAAATGTAAATGCTGTGACAGACTTTGAGACATGAGTTCGAATTCTCAATTGTGTTTTAGCGCCTCTGACCCCACCCTTAAAAACGGAATACATGAATACTTCGTGTTTCCAGTAGACTCCTGCCATACAGTGTTACCAGTCCTTTTTCCCCCTATTCGCTGGAAGCCTAAGGGGCTATTCTAGCTACTCCTGGACGAGTAGGTAACCTCACGGACTAAATCTGAGAGAATTTCCTAACACTAGCCCTAGCAAGAGCAATACTTTGGCGATTCGCCCGGTTCTTGTGAATTGGGTGAATCGCGACAGAGGACGCCTCACTTTCCGGCTCACGCAGGTGCTCACTGGGCATGGTTGCTTCGGTGAGTTCCTGCACCGGATCGGAGCCGAGCCGACGGCAGAGTGCCACCATTGTGGTTGCGACTTGGACACGGCGGAGCACACGCTCGTTGCCTGCCCCGCATGGGAGGGGTGGCGCCGTGTCCTCGTCGCAAAAATAGGAAACGNAGGTGCTCACTGGGCATGGTTGCTTCGGTGAGTTCCTGCACCGGATCGGAGCCGAGCCGACGGCAGAGTGCCACCATTGTGGTTGCGACTTGGACACGGCGGAGCACACGCTCGTTGCCTGCCCCGCATGGGAGGGGTGGCGCCGTGTCCTCGTCGCAAAAATAGGAAACGACTTGTCGTTGCCGAGTGTTGTGGCATCGATGCTCAGCGACGACGAGTCGTGGAAGGCGATGCTCGACTTCTGCGAGTGCACCATCTCGCAGAAGGAGGCGGCGGGGCGCGTGAGAGACACGCAAGCCCGCCGCCGTCGAGCGGGGGCCAGGGAGGCGGATCTCGCCCAAGCCCTGGCCCTCTAAGTGTTTCGGGTCCCCTTCATATGTCGGTCTGGGGACCGACGAAGGGGGCCTAAGAAGACGACGTGCAAGCTGCTCTGCACGCGTTTTACGCAAGAGCATCCGGGTTATGGAAGGCCGGCTATTCTCTACCCACGCTGGTTCTGACCCAGCGGGGTATTTCGTAGGATAGACCATTCTAACCGGCGCCATCTAGGCAGGCTCCGGATAGCCTGCCGACCGAGAGGGCTGGTGGTCGTGGCGTCGACGACCGCCAGTCCGGCGTCCCGAGGGGGAGGGTGATGGGAGAGATGTGCTCCGCACTAAACGCTTCACTTTCCCCCCTTTGCCTTTTCTTGGGTTCTGTCTCATGCGAGGTTCGGACGCGGGTTGTTGAGCGACAGGAGGTTTTAGTCAGTTCGATCCGGCCAGTAAAATCCCCTACTGCTAATTAATATGCAAATGGAAACACGGGATTTCATTAGAAACAAAAAATATTAGGGATTACGTAGCTAGTCTCATATTTTGAACTAGGCTTTGTCTAAAGAATAAGACACTCATGCAATCATATCGAACGATGCAACTATGCTGGTATTCAAATCCCGCAGGCAAGTGATCGTGATTGTGATGTGCCAAAATGCAATATCCGACAGCCGCTACACAATATTGAGGAGTCAAACTCATGTCTTAAAGTAAGTAATGGCATTATGTTGTAATATCTGTAGGCTCTAATAAATTCTGAGGTTAGGTCGACCCTGAACACTGCAACCAGACTCGCGGCGCCACCCCTAGGACGCCCGACCGACGCGGCGACGGGTTGTCGAAGCGATAGTTGACGACTCTACGTCAGCCGTCTGGATACGGCAGCCCATCAGGCCACCCCGGACGGTGCCGCCGCTATTCCGGAATACCCTGCTGTGCCAGAACCAGTCTCCCGGGTCGGTGCGATACACCAGCAACCGGTTGCTACGTAGAAGTTCAGTGGAACTGATGGCATGTAGCGCACTAGAGCGCTGTTAGCGCAT